TGGGTGGCAATCCATTGTGTACTTAGCCACGCTGGTGCTTAAATAAGAGATATACAGCCGGTCAATTGGTTATCCCCTCAAATTTTTCCAGCTTGACAGGATGTGCTAGAACAGGGTCACCTCCATGCCACATTAAAACACAAAAAGAGATTTTACTAGAGAAACCAAGAACTCCATAACAATGTTTCTACAACCATTGTATAATAGTAATGCCTGAAAGCTAACGTAATCTGATCTGAGGAGGAACGAGATGCTGAGCTCTGCACCAGTCTCAGTATCATTGTCAGGATTTGCAGCTAGTCCAAAATCACAGCAAGAGATCTGAGCTCTAGATACCAGGCTGGTAAAAGATTTCAGGATATTCAACTTTTCCACACCCCTGCTCAACAGCTTGGAACCTATGACCCAGTATTGCAATCTGGACCCACCTCCTTCAAATGGCTTTAGTCCCAGGACCCTCATATTTTTCTCAGCTCTTCTCAAAGATGTTTACCCAAAGGAACCTGTAAAATCTTTGTCCCCAGAGGCCTTTAAAATGAGCTTGATAGCAATCCAGGATATTTTAGGTTCAGTTCCAAGTAGGAACAAGAGAGTGCATATTATCGCCATTGTCGGGTCTGCTACCGAACTGTCCCAAGTATGTTTTTAGTGAGCCTACAGGAGATAAGTATACATCCTACTACCTCTATTCAACTGCAAAAAAGCAGTCATTTATGTATCTATTTGATAAACCACAGAATATAAAACAATGATACCAGGATAGTAACTTGCCCAGGGGATTCTCCATCTGAACTTATTGGTAAAAGACGAGAATAAGACACCAACGATATTATACAAATACTTTTTATTCAGTTATAAAAAGCATGTGGTACAGTGGATGGGGTGCTGGGCCTAGAGTCAGGAAGATTCTTCCTCCAGAGTTCAAATCTGGCCTCAGACACTTAGGGCAAGTCATTTAACCCTGTTTGTCTGAGTTTCTCATCTGTAAAATGAGCTGGAGAAGGAAATGGCAAACCACTCTGGTACCCCTACCAAGAAAATCCCAAATGGAGTCACGAAGAGTCAGACACAACTTAACAACAATATCTTTTTTACACCTGCACAAAAAATAATAATAATAGTAGGCTATTTATTTACCCCTCTCAAAACTGTTTCTCTCAGAACTTTACTCAATATAAGATAAGAAGCATGAAGATAGCAGTAATGATAATAAAGTAGTCCCTTACCTGGGCAATAATAAAACTTTTTTTTTCTTTTTTTTTTTTTGAAGCGATCAGGGTTAAGTGACTCGCCCAGGGTCGCACAGTTAGTAAGTGTTAAATGTCTGAGGCTAGATTTGAACTCAGGTCCTTCTGATTCCGAGGCCAGAGCTCTATTCACTGTGCCACCTAGCTGCCCCTATGGAACTTTTTTTTGAAACAGTTCTGCAGATGAAAATTTTATGCTTTGAAAAATAGGATTCTCTACCAGAGGCAGCAAGGTGGCACAGTGGACAGAGTACCAGGCATGGAGTCAGAAAGACCTGAGTTCAAATATGGCCTCAGATACTTACTTGCTGTATGACTCTGGGCAAGTCACTTAACTTCTGATAGCCTTGGTTTCCTTAATTATAAAGTAAGACTCATAACAGCATTACCACCCAGGGTCATTGTAAGGATAAAATGAGATAGTTGTGAAGCATCTAGCACAGTGCCTGGCATATAGTAGGTGCTTAATAAGTGTTTGTTTCTTTCCTTTCTTTTATACATTTACTCTCTCCCTTTTATATGTGTGTATTTTTCTATTGTCATCCCAATATGGTACAATAGAAAGAGTGCTGGCACACTATCAATCCACTCCAGAACATTTCAAATGAGTCTCCTCCAATTTCTGCTTGGATTGACATTTTGTTCAGACTCAAGAGGCATCTTCAACCTCCTTATGCCGTTTGCAATTAGCTAAGATGCACCAAGGGAGGACGGGCACCACAAGATCAGAACCACTTAGGTTCACCGTGGTATTGATCAAACTGAACAGGGGAGAAGCCAGAGAATGCAGCCTGTGACTTGCAAGTCCCCAGATAAACACTCCCTGGAAATATTTCAACCACCTGGCCCTTCAGGCAAAAAAAAAAAAAATCCTACAGACAAAAACCCGGGTTAACTACTGGAAACCAGTTGTTAATTCAGATCAGGTCCACTGTTTTCATGCATATTAAGAAGGTTTAAGTTCTTTTTATGGGAAATTTACTTTTGCAGAGGCTGCGGATAAGAATTGGCAAATGTTTCTTCTGAAACTTAGCAACCAGCTTTTCACCAGTATAATCAAGAAAGATGGGCAGGAATTTTATGGATCTGAATGTTTCTTTTCACTGATGGTTATTAAGTTGGAGTTTAAAGAAATGGGAAGGAAAAAGAAATGTTGGGAGGGAGGAAAATCAGAAATTAGATTTGCAATACTGTAGACAGATTTATCTTCACTAACTGCCTCAAGGATGGAATCATTTTCATGTTATGTATACACTATACAAAGGGATCATATTATGGTAGAAAGGACTTTGAGTTTAAATAGTAACAACACCAATAATAGTAATAATAAAGATGACATTTACATAGCAACTTTGTTTCACAAAGCATTATTGATAGATTATCTCTTTTGATCCTCAGGACAACCATGCAGGTACTATTATTATGCCCATTTTACAGGTGAGGAAATAAAGATTAAAAAGTTCAGAGTCAGAGAATGTTGGTATAAATCCTGCCTCCACAACTTACTGCCTGCATCACCTTAGAGTCTATGATTGTCTAAGGCTTGGACAATTCACCTCATTTTTCTGAGAAGACTTAAATTTCTTTATCACTGTAGCCACCCCTACAATGTAATTACCAGGCAAACGCCTGGGATGTTCCTTGGTATGGACTCCCCACAATGTAATACAATCGTGCCCCTCTTATGGAAGATGCCTAAACCTCTTTCCTAGGCTATCTTGCTTACTTCCACCTGCTCTCACATTAGCAGCTCTAAAGTGTCCAGAGAAAGACCACTAAGACATAGTCACACTCAAATTCTCTCTCTCCTCATCTCTGTCTTCTGGCTTCTCTGGATTTCTTCAAGTCTCAGCCAAAATTTCACTTTCTATAAGAAGTCTTTTCTGATTCCCCCATAACACTGATGTTTTCCTGCCTCTGAGCTTATATCCAATTTATCCAAATTTATTTGTTTGGACATAGAGCTTTGGATGTTGTCTCCCCTAGGTGGTACAGTGAATGGAGTGCCAGGCCTGGAGTCAGGAAGACTCATCTTCCTGAGTTCAAATCTGGCCTCAGACATTTACCAGCTGTGTGAACCTGGGCAAATCACTTAACCCTGTTTGCCTCAGTTTCCTCATCTGCCAAATGAGTTGGAGAAGGAAATGGCAAACCAGTCCAGTATCTTTGCCAAGAAAACCCCAAATTGGATCACAAAGAGTTGGACATGACTGAAATGACTGAATAACAACAATGTGCTTTTATTTACACACCCATCCACTCATAATAATATACTTTTACTTCTTAAAAATAACCGTGTAGTTAAAAATTAAGGCAAAAGAAATATATTAAATCAAATGCATAAATGATTTTTTAAAAATACACCTCAATCCACAAATAGACCTAGTTTAAACTCTCCCATCAAGGTACTCAGTATCTCTGGGGGAAAGAAGACACACACACTCACAGGAAACTGGCAAGGAAAGCACATCACACAATGGAGGAAAATCCGTTTGCTCTGGATAACTCATAAGACTGCACTGCAGCCTTTGATGTCATTGGTCCATTCGTAGACATCTGCACCATAAAAAGCTACTGATCCTCACCCACTTTTCATCAGGACAAATCATCTCATCTTCTATATTCAAATATAACATTTACAAGTATCTTTAAAAGATGTTTAGAAAACATTACCTCTTAATTTGAATAACAGTTGCAAAGTTGCAACTTCAAAGCTCATCAGAATGGCCACCTCAGTCAGTCAATAAACATTAAGCACCTACTATGTGCTCACCACTGTGCTAAAACCTGGGAATATAAAAAGAGAAAAAAGACAGTCCCTGCCCTCGAGGAGCTCACAATCTAGACCGGGGTGGGGAACCTGCAGCCCTTTGACGGAATCCAAACTTCACAGAACAAATCCTTTTATTTAAGGATTTGTTCTGTGAAGTTTGGATTCTAGACAATTATTCCCTCACCCAGATTGTACATTGTTCAGTCCTAAGGGACCTCACAGCAAACAGTTCAAGTGACTCTCTGAGGAAAGCAAACAAACCAACCTAGCCAGCTTCTCCCCATACAGAAGAGCAGCTACAATACCCACCTTTTTTCTTTTTTGTATTCCCCTCTCTTGCTATGGAGGGAAGGATGGAGAAAGAAAGAAAAAAAGAAAAAGAAACATGTAGTCCTAAGAGGCTTCACCTCTCAGAAGCTCTAGGAGGTGCTAAAGAACAACATCTAAAGCTAAAGTTCTCATCCAATGAGGTTTGCTCAGAGTCGCGTTTAGACCCCTGCTATTTCTTCATTCTTTACTTGCCAGGTTCTTCCTTCTTCAACTTCAGCCTCTGATGCCCCCTTTCAATACCTTAAACCAACATCTCCTTGTTCCCATTTTATAGATGAGTAAACTGAGGCTGAGAGAAGTTAAGTGACTTGCTCAGAGTCACACGGCTAGTAAGTGTCCAAGTCAGTTTTCCTGCCTCCAAGTTAAGCTGTCCACCCACTGTATCACCTAGGTGCCATTATTTGCTACAACACCTAGATCATCCATGGACCAAATTGCCCCTTTCTCCATTCTGATTTGGGAGTGCCCTCACCCTTTCACCCTATGCCCAATCCAAGGGATCCACCTTTAAACTTTAGAATCCTTTGAACTCTCTCCCTATGCCCCCTCCCAGGAAACAAACATTTTAATGTCTCAGGAAATTGGATGGTTTTGCTATCTGTTTGCTCTCTATAGCTACTGTCTCTCACCTCCTGCCTTTTACTTCCTAGTAAACAGCAGCCGGCACATCGTCAGGAAGTTCCGAGGACACCTACGAACAAAAATAGAATCAGGGGAAGGGACCATCCCTGTCCGGTGTCACAACGCTGTTCAAACATGGGATGGCGTATTGCTAGGCGAACAGCTTGTCACCATGTCATGCACAGACAAGATTGCCAGGTAAGGGTCAAGTTTCATTTTGACCTGAAGATGAAAAGAATGTGATCTAGTAGGTAGATACTCCAGCTAGAGGGATCTTGATCAGTCAAAAGAAAGGGAGTCTTCAGAAAGGTGCTAGAAAAAGAGAGAGGACATGATCTTCAGTGATGCTACTGCATTCTCTGTCTCATAACAAACTTACTACCCACGTACTAACCATGTATTTGGCATGTCTGTAATTTCCCAGACTATGTCAGATATAACATCAAAAAACACGAGAACATAGATTCTGAATCCTCATGGGAAAGTACCACTGACTATAAGGAAAATGGTATAATTTACCTCCCTGTACCAGCTTGACCCAGCTCTATCAAGAATTAATAAGACAACCAAAAGAAAATAAATGTATACAATGATTTCTATTTCAAAGTGGGAGAGAAGGGGTAAAACCTTAGGAAGAGATGTGCAGTTATCAAATAGTTTTTCTAGTCAGAGAGAAAAAAAAAGGAAAAAAGATATTATCACTGATAATATTTTCATGTATTCATAAAGGGATGAGGGGGGGAAAATCAAAACAATTTTGAGTTCAACTGAAATTCTTTTACTGCTCCAAGATACCACAGGGTTTCTAAATCAAAGTCTCTAGTTCCCTAGAAAAATGAAACAAATTAGTGGTTTAGAATTGAAATTTTACAGTCTCTGTGGTTTTAAACATCAATAGACAGTAAATTAAATAGAGGCTACAGAACCAGCCTTATATTTGTTGTTGATAGGCCTGTCAATAGTAATATCATCTCAATGAACTCAGGTTCTCTCTTTTTTTAAGAAAATCTACTTGTATAATAAAATTCTGAACATCAATAGCTCCTTCTCAGAAGTTTCCAAACTTTGAAGAAAAAAAAAGAAACAGCAGATCCATTTCTCTGGGGGAAAGAAGTATTTCTAGATTTTTTTAAGTGAACCTTTAACCTTAAGAACTTAGGAAATTCAAAAGAACCGAGTAAGTTGGAATGTTCTTTCTGGTGTCATGGCAAAGATTAAAATACAGATTATATTTCAGTTCAGTCAGTCAGCTTTTATCCAGTGATTAAACTCTAAAATCCTTGAGGAAATTTGAAATCTATCTGTTGAGTCAGATCAAAAAGCATTTATTAAATGCCTACCATATACCAGGCACTAAAACTAAAGGCCAGGGATACAAAGAAAGACAAAATAGCCCCTGCCTTCAAGGAGCATAAGTATACCTGTCTCCATAGTATAAGTAATAGCATAATGGCCCTGCTGAAGACTGAAGGGAAGGGGAGAAGATGTGCTTTGGAAAGTTTAGTATATCAACTAGGAACTTAACCTATACATCCTTCACTGGGTCCCAGTCTTATCATTTCTATTTTATTCTATGCCTCTATTCTCTATGTTTCTTTCTTGCTCTCTTCTTTAGTTCTGTCTTTCCCCCTTCCCCAACCTACTCTTCATCCAGAAGGCTAATCCTTAGCCCTAAGTATTTTTTGTTTCACTTCCAAAAGGAACTTTTTGGTTGGTACCATCCTTTTCAGATTGGTCACTGACTTCCTGGATATGATCACCTCCTCTTGGATGTATGCATCTTCTCTTGGCTCTATCTACTCCCCTCATGTTCTCTCCCCTAACCCCACAAGTGAATAACCCTCAAAACCCATTTCCTACTGCCTGCAAACTCAAGGTCCCTCAGATTTACCTCCCAGGTCTTAAAGTGATGTCTCTGAAATTTGATGATTTACGCAGTCACTGCCTATTTCTGAAGCAAACTCCTGGACTGCAAGACTATGTAACTTATTGAGTCTAAAGCTCAGAACAAGATGCATTGGAGAACTCTTGGCAAATAACAATTACAATAATAAAAAGGGTGCCGTTGATATTGGAAAGCAACATGGTCCAGATTAGGAAATAGTAGATGAGCCCACAGGATATCTAATGGCACTGGAGGATTTTGTGCCTCCATGACTACTAGAAAAGCACAGGCCTTTAAATAGAGAATCAGAGAGTCAAATTAAACAAAGCGCTTTTTTTTAAAGAATGGATCTATTTTTTGCTGTTTTTCAGCCGGAGTATATATTACATGAATGATTTAAGATCTTAAGCATTATGTAACATTCATTGTGAATCGGTTTCACTTGAAAGCAATAAAACATTTAGTTGTTTTCTATCCAGTTATATAAATCCAGAAACCAAACCTCAGAACTATGATAATTTAGATTGAACAAAGGACATTTCATCTAAAACTTAGGTTTAAAAAATTCTGTCCAGGGGCAGAAGATGGAGAGATGGTAAATCATTTCATTTTGAGGACAAAAAAGTGACAGCTCATGAGCAAAATTCAATGGTCCTTGTGCAACCAGAGGCCACATCTGATGCCAAGGGGAAAGGATAAGGCAGGAAGACAGGAAAGTTCCAAATAATGAAAGAGAGAACAGGTTTCACAATCATTCTCAAGCTAGAATGGGGAAGCATTTCAATATCCATCTGAAACTTTTCACTCTGAACACTTCCCTAGTGTTGAATAAACTATACTTATAACATTGAATGAACTATATTTATAACATTGAACACTGACTCCATGCAAAGTCCTAGGCAACATAAATAAGATAAAGATAAATAGAATATTTTTTCCTCAAGGAATCCAGTTTAGAGCTTATATATTACATATCTTTCTGTTCCTCCTAGTGTTGACTTGTGATTTGCCCATAATAGGCATACAATTTAACAAATTTTTACTAAGCATTTACCAGGTACCGAGCACTATGCTAGGCACTGATGACATAAAGACGACAACAATAAAGCTATCCCAGCCCTCAAAAAGCTTACATTCTATTGGGGATCATTTAATAAGTATTTGTGGAATAAATTAGAGAATGAAGAAATGGATAAATACAATCTATGTTCATGTAATATCACTGTGAGAATAATTAAAAAGCAAAATACAAACAAATGCATAGGTAGAGTAGAGAGAATACCTAAGGGAATTTATCATCTCCCAGGCTCCCCTATGTTTGGCCCCTGGAAAGGATGGGGGACACTCATCCTTAAAGCTCCCTAAGCCTCACCTTTTTTATTGCTACTGGGATTGAGAATAATACGTTCTACATTTTTGGATATGGCCAATGAAGGAATCTGTTTTGTTTGACTATTTGTGTTTTGTAGGAAAAAAAAAAACTTTTACTTTTTTGGGTTGTTGAATTTGAGAGAGAGAATATGTGAAGGTATGAAATAAGTGCTTGGTAATTTTTAAAAAATAAAATTCTATTCTTAAAAGAGAGAGAGAATATATTTCTTACTTTGAGGCAGTGCTTAAATTGAAGCCCTGAAACCTAAGATGTCATTGGGACCCCAGGCATCCTAAAAGAGATGCTTATCACCAAGTTTCACACTGTGACCATCTTTCCAAGGGAATCAATCTTATTCAACAAACTGCTTGGGAACCATTTTCATCTATATTTATAAATTTCTAACTGCCTCTGTTATGAGACAGAGTTCCAATTTGAGCAAATGCTAAAGAAAAAAAGTGTTAAAGCTGAATTATTCCATCATCTATGTCACATACTTCTTATTTATTTAAATGACAATCAATTAGCACAATTATATCTTTAATTAGGGATAATGTATCCATGAGATGAATACCATTTGTAATCCCCTTTGCTAATTCTCTCTCATATTATTTAAAAGTAAACTAGAATCCATTACAATAAGAGCTTATTTACTAACTCGATATAGAAGCCAGATCTAGACCATTTCAACTCCCCACCACTCCCTTCAAAAGCTAAAACACATTGGGAGCCAGTTTTTAAATCAATAGATCCTAAAAAGTCATATAAATAAGACCACAGCAGGTGCTGTTCTGGGTACAGAATGTCATAAATAACAATTGATATAACTTGGGGGCATGTTTGGAAGCTTTGGTAGCAAACAAAATATTGGGTTTATAGCACAATAAACATTAGAAGGTTAAAAGCTCAATGGACATTGGAGATTATAAATAAATGAATGAACCTTTTGATTCAATGGATGATTAGATAATTAGATAAACATTGACAAAGAAGACAATAGATAAATGTTTTAGGAGACTCCCTGATATTCTGTCAGTAAGAAAATTAGTTCCTTTTTTTTTTTGGTGTCCTGAGAGGTGTTTCAATATACTTCCTTTTACAAGCTTCATAGTTGAGATTCTCTAAGTCCCATAGTAACTGTTGCTACATCAGTGGGAGGAGTGTTAGGGAACAAAGGTGATGGATTTAACTGATTGAGTCCAGTTCCTAAGTGTCCCTCATCTTTTCCTGGAGCTCAGAGATTAGAGACAGGGGAGATGGAGGCGAGATCTCTCCAATGATCAGATCACAAGTTGGCTTCAGCTTCTAGCTTCAAATATTCTAAGAAGCAACTTTGCTCTGCCCTTCATGGGTGAGTACAGGGCACCTTCATGGCATGAGACTTGGAACTACAAGGAACCTTTCATAGCATTTCATTCAATGACTCATTTTTTATTTTTTTATTTTAAAAAATAAATTTATTTTACATGCATTTACAATGTCTTTCCCAATGCCCATCCCCCACTGAATAACAAAGACAAAGATAACCCTCATCATAAATATACACAGTCCAGAAAAACAAATTCTTACATTGACCATGCCTGAAAATATATGTCTGTTCTCTGCATTTTAAGTCTATCACCTCTTTGGCAGGAAGTAAGAGGCATGTTACAGCTTCAGTCTTCTGGACTTGTGGTTTATAATTGCTTTGATCAGAGTTCTCAACTCTTTTATTTTTCTTTATAATGATGTCATTATATAAACTGTTCTCATACTGCTCACTTTACTCTATATCTGTTTAAAGAGGTCTTCCCAGGTTTTTCGGAAAATGTCCATTTCAAGATTTCTTATGGTACAATCACTGCATTTTACAGATGAAGAAAATGAGGAATAGCAAGGTAAAGTGACTTGCTCATGGTCACAAGAAGGGAAGGGGAAAAAACTACACTGTTCCCTGTTTCC